TTCTTACCGTAGGGGCACTTTAAGAGCAATGTAACATCTTTTAAAGACTTGGCTTCATTAAGCAAAAAAAAATGACTTGTAGAGTTTTAGAAATAACCAAGTAGACCTTAGAGAAGGACAGTGATTCTGACCCACTAATGAAGCATTTCATTTTTTAGTGATAACTTTCAGTCTGTCTATGAAAGATGAGATGAGATGTGTCTACTGACCTATGCAGGAAACTTGTCCATGGGTATGTACTCAGAGATGCTTGTAGTGTCTAAAGTACTAGCACCCTGGCCGCTGTCTCAGCGGATTGAGCGTCATCCTGTGCATCAGAGGTTGCAGGTTCGGTTCCTGGTCAGAGCACAACCTAGGTTGTGGGTTTTGTCCCTGGTCATAGCATGTATGAGAGGCAGCTGATCAATGTTTCTCTCTCTCTCTCCCCCTCTGCCTACCTTTAAAATCAATAAACATATCCTTGGGTGAGGATTAAAATGAATTAATTAATAATATTGGGTTGGCCAAAGATTTCATTTTTTTCTGTAGGATGGCTCCAGTAGCGCTTAGTTGCTTTAACTTCATTCAAAACAATTTTGTTAGATTGTATTGTGACAGCTGTCATATTTAGTGTGCATTTAAAAAAACTTATCAAAATTGGTGAATTTTTGTGCAGCCATTTAAATGTTGAAGACGGAAGAAAATAGGTAACAGTTTCGGCATATTTTGCTTTACTATTTCAAGAAAGGTCAAGCCTCAGCTGAGCTGCAGGGGAAGGTCTGTGCGGTGCGCGGAGAAGGTGCCGTGACGGACCGGACGTTCAGAGCTGGTTTGCGGAGCTTGACCCCGGAGGTTTCCCGCTGGACGGTGCTCCACGGTCGGGCGGACCAGGTGAAGTTGACAGCGATCACATCGAGACGTTAATTGAGAACAATCAACATTCTACCACGCAAGTGATAGCCGACATACTCAGAATATCCAAATCAGTGGAATTATTGATGAGAAGGAAAAGTGTGTCCTTTATTTTACGGAAAAAAACTAAACAGATTTTTGGCCAACGGGCCAACCAAATAAACAAACAAAACAAGATAAAAGGGTGAGGGAGCGGCCACCATTTATCGATGCCAGACGTTGTGCGGACCCCTGACGTCTCGCCGGCCGAGCGACCCTGCCTCCTCGTCTGCCCAGAATGTCCCGGTTTCCACGTTGAAACTCTTGGGTCCCGAGAAGCCCCTCAGGCCTGGGCATACCGGGCCAGCTGGCCACCCTGCCACTTGACCTCAGCCAACCCTCGAAGCACCCGTACGTGACAGGCGCCACAGTGAGCCCATTTCACAGACGAGCAACCGGAGGCACGGAAGCCTCAGGCGAACTGACCGGAACGACCAGGCCTGAGAGCGGCGAAGCCGGCCCCCAAGCTCCCGTCTGGCCCCACGGCTGGTCTCGGAGCCGCTTTCCCCGCTGCTCTGCTCTTGGCCGTGAAGCCACAGTCACTGGGGTCTTGTCCTCTCTTCCCTGTCCAGGGACCAAGGTGATGTATGGACCCTGCCCTGAAAGAGCCTGTTTAGAATCTCCTGGCCACTTGAGAAACCAGTTTCACAAGAAATGAACTGCATCCCATTCGATAGCAACAGCAAGTTAAAGCCACACCGAGTTCTCCAAGGCTCTGGACGCTGCTTGAGGAATCTGAGGCCACTGGGCTTGCGGGGATGGAGCCAGGGCAGCGGACACCGCCCCTCGGAAGGGCAGCGTCCCAGGAGCAGGGCACACGCCACACAGCTGCCCCAAGGGGTGCGGCCGCCCGGGGACTGGAGGAGCGGGGGAAGGTCCCGGCCGGCCACTCGGCCTGGAGGGCCCCTTGGCTGCTCCTCACTCATGCCCGCAGAGCGGACCGAAGCGCTGGGGTGCATCTGTCATTCAGGCTGGAAAGTGATTTGCGATGCGTGAGAGCTGGAGTTTTAGGAATAAAGTCGTCTGTGCCTATTGAATTTTATAGAGTCATGACCTCTTGGGGTCATCGGTCCTGCAAGTCGTGACTTCTCTGGAATAAATACCCCGACGGAGAGGGCAACATGTCCACCAGGTGAGTGAGCGTGTTCTTCCTGCTGGAATTGTGGCATCTTATGGAGATAAAAAGGGACTTTATTCCCAGGTACTGCGATGATCATTTATCAAAGGTACATTTCTAGAATGTTTAAGCTTATACTTATTGCTTTTCCTGACTATAAAATGATTTGTAGAAACACAGAATTTCTACAATGAAATATGAAGTAAAGACCCTAAAACCCCAGGCATGTAATTACTTTGGGCATTTTTTAAAAATTATCCTGTAATTCTTTTTCTTTGAAATATGATAAATCACAGCTATTCACACTGTGGAGTCTGGGGTTGTCATTAAAATCGCGTCCTGAACAAAAACTTACTGATGTGGGAATGTGCCCGCTGATACAAGGAGGGCGCCTTGCACCCCTCCTGTACCCCACTTCCTCGCCCTAATTCTGTGGGCGTCTCTCCACCCCGGGCGGGATTCCTCCAGGAGACGGTTTGTGTCGGCAGCACGGGACTTTCTAACATGGGTGGGCTTCAGTTTGCCCAACACATTTCTCGTATTTTCAACAGATCAAACTAAAGAACGCTTCACAAATTTGTGTACAGGGTCTTTATTGTTTTTTTTGTTTTTTTTTCAATTAAGTGGGAGGTAACCATACCGGCTACTCCAGCGACTTCTTTCCCAGGGGGACACTCCTGCACAAGGAGCCCACATCCATTCTGGATGTTGTCCCCTTGGCCCCAGGAGTCACCTCTGCTCCCCCGCCTGCCCTGTGCCCTGGGGGCCGCTGGCCATCCCCACGGGGAAGCCACACCCCCCGCCTAGCTGTCCAGTCCAGCCCCTGCCTTCCTGTGGGGAGGTTGGAGGAATATAGGATTTCATCTCCTGCGGTCACCTTGGGCCAGCTGTGTGCCGCCCCAGAGAGAAGGCACAGCTGGTGGTCTCCGGTGCGGGGAGAATTGCTGCTTGGTTTCTGAGGCTGACCTCCCCCTGCCGTCCCCGTGGGCCTGGGGGACCACACCACAGCGTCCCACAGCCACACACCCCCCTCCCACCCTGCCCTGTGCCGTGAACCTCTTCATCAACAAAGCCCTCCAACTTGAAGGATTCCAGTCTGAGAGTGCCATCCGCTTCCTGTCGGGACCGGTGGTGACGAGGGTGGGCTGAATTAGAATGCAGTTCACCTGTGTTGGGACCATGCCTGGCCTTGCGCATTGATGTGCGGTGGCCGAAGCAAGCGATGTGCGGTGTTTTTAATTACCTAAGAGGCTACTCAGTGGGGTTCTGGCAGGAAGCAGAACTCCAGCACCTGAAAGGGACTCTGATGGAGGGACCTTTCACGGGAGGGCCGAGAAGATGGGGACGGGGCGTAAGGAGGGGCAGAAGACGCACACGAGGCAGAACCCGCGTGATGACGCGGGAGCCCACGTGAGTGGGCGGGGCCCGGCCAGGCCGGGACGCGGGCCCGGACACAGCCTTGCCCGGTTGTCAGTGGGGAAAGGAACTCCCTGACCCGCACCCCCGCCCCCCCCTTCTCTCCCCAGACTCTTGTCCGCAGTCCACGCCTCCACTGGCCGGACCCAGTTGGAGACTGGCATGACCTGTGCAGAGGGGCCAGCCTGCCGGGCTCCGGGGAGGCTGGGAAGGGCTGGCAGGGGGCGGGAGGGGGACAGACAGGCACCAGGACCACTGGGATGGCAACCTCTGGACGAGCAGAACCCTAACTGTGTTAAAGCGATGCAAGTATTTGTGTGCGAGAGAAAACGGAATGAGACATTTAAAGTAGCAACCTCGTGTTAGCAGGAAAATACATGGTTTATATTTCCTATCGTGCTTAGTATATTTTCCACATCAAAAAATGGCTGTGTATTACTTTAACTTAGAGAAAATAAATGCTAATGGGGCGATGCGTTTATTTCAATTTTCGTGTATTAAAGGAAGGATTTCATTCCCTGCCTGGCCTTTCGCACCCGCACGGCCTCAGTAAGGCCAAGGCCAGATGAGGGGGTGGGGTGCTCTTTGTCACACTGACCGCAGGGGAAGGATCCTCTAACGTGGGCGCTTCCGTCCTCACCCGCCCGGAGCAGACTCCGTCTCACTAATTACGACCGGCGTCGTCCTGCGGAGCAGCTGGCCCCTGACAGCCGCTCGGCCAACCGCAGTGTCCAGTCCTGGGGCCAGTTCAGGGGCGAACCTCAGAGCACAGGCAGCAGCCCCGCACCCCCGGGGGGAGCCGCAGCGCCCTTCCAGGCCACCCCGGCCTCGGCCCGCAGCGCTCTCCGGGGCTCCGTGCGCGGCCGCCACCGCCGTCAGGACTGTGTGGCTTCCTTGTCTCTGGCTGCTGGTCTCTGCGGCGTGCACTTGAACCGGAACGCGCCCCAGAGGCGCAGCGTGGGGTTGGCTGCAGCTCCTGGGTCCCCTGACCCACACCCGCCCCCTCAACTATTCACGGAGGCGGGGCCCCAGGCTCCTGGGGGGCGGGGCAAGTATTCGGTGTGTGAGGGAGGAGCCGGCAGGCCTTTGGAATGTCACCGGCCAGCTGTGGAAGGCCGAATTCCTAAAACAAGCCCGGAGCCCCCACCCCCACCTCCGAGGAAGCCCCAGCCCCGCTGGGGAGAAAAGCCGCCCAGAGGCTCAGCTGCGTGCCCCGCCCACTGGCCGCATACCCCAGCCTGGGAGGCGTGGGCTTGGCCCCTCAGGGATGCCTGGCCTTGCAAAGCCAAGGATCTCTCGGCGAGCAGACGCCTCACACGTGCTGTATTCTGAAATCTGAAATTCTAAGCAGCATCTAAAGAGCACATTTAACTGGCTGTGCTTTTTAAAGTGGTTTCCTATACTTAACGTTAGCTTTTCAGAGCATGAGTTAACGCAGATCTTATTAACATTCCATGCTTCTCCACAGAGCAGGTGCTGGTTTTAAAAAAAACTGCAGATAAGAGCCACTTTAGAAAAGGAATGAGACATGTATATGGAACTTTTAAAAATAAGGTTTATATCTTAAACGCCACGTGAGTTCAAGGCAGTCACGACTGTAGTGCATCATATATGTATTTTCCATGCATACATGTATATTTAGACCCAATCTCAGGTTCCGTGTTGTGACCCTCAGACTCGGCTTACAAAGCTGGGGTTCAAACGTGCTGAGAGGAGAAGCCTGTCGGCTGGAGGGGACCGCCCCCCTTTTTAGCGACGCACAGACTTGTCACAGAGCGGATGAGCACCCCTGACATCAGCCGGTCCTCTGCCACCTGGCGGCATGACCAAGGCAGCTTCCCCCGCCTGGCTGCCGTGACGACGAGACAGTCCTGAGTCCTCGCTGGTACCAAACAAGTCCCCCAAACCGTCGGTGGTCAGGGGCAAGAGGGGCATCGCTTTGTGCACTGGGGACGCAGTGAACGAGCGTCCTCTCTCGTTCAGGGAACAAAGACAAGTTCAACGTACCGGGGACCGTGTCTCCCTCGGTAACCTTCCTGGGAAGCGTTTCGGTGTGGCTCCCACAAACACCCCCGCGGTACCTTCGCTGGCCGACCTGAGACTGTCCTCGCGCCCCGTGAGCACGGCCGGCGGGCGGCCCCTCGGTCACTCGGTCCCCGCCGGGCCCCTCACCTCCACCACCAGGATGCCGTCGTGGCAGAGGAGGGCCGACAGGTCCCCGGTCTGGACGCCCTCGGGCAGCCGGTACTGCCGGGTGAAGCTCCTGGAGACGAAGCCGTGCTCGTCCATCCGGGTCCCGTGCTGCGCCTTGACCAGCAGCCAGCCCTCGAAGGTCTGGATGATGATGTCCTCGGGGAGGAACTGCACCACGTCCAGCAGGACCTGGAAGCGCGCCTGGCCTCCCCGGCCTGGCGCCTCCACTGCGGCGTCCCCCGCCGGAGCCCGGGCCGCGCCGGCCCTCCCCAGGTCCACGGTGGTCGGCCCGGGCAGCGCGAACAGGGCGTGGTCCAGCCTGCAGTCCTCCAGCCCCCGCGCCTCGAACTGCTCCTGGTAGCGCACCGGGGTCTCCACGAGGTGCCTGCGCACGATCTGAGCCATGGTTGGGGGGTGGGGAGGGCAGCCACGCGGGCAGCGTCCCTCCGGGCCGTGTCCCTCTGACCGTCCGCCCGCCCAGCCGGAGCCCTCTGGCCAGACTAGCAGGTGGGGCAGCCACTGGCTGATAACCCTGCGCAGATCAGGCCGAAAACACCCCACACCCTCCGTCTCCAGTTGCCACACAGGCTGACAGCGCGGGGCTATTTATAGGGCGGCTCCGGGCCTGTGTCTATTTAGCTCCCAGCCTGCTGGGGCCGCCCTCCCCTCGGCCCCCCCCTCACCACCCAGTGGGCGAGCCCAGCTTATCTGGGGAGAAGAAGAGTCGGAACCAGAAGCAGTATGCGAAAAATGTAAGTGCACTGCCCTTGTGGACAACCGCGGTCGAAGGCGCCGTGACCTCTCAGAACAGCCTGGACGGGCGGACCCACTGCCGGCAGGAGCTGAGGCTGGGTGGGCCGGTCTCCACGGGCGGGGCTGGCGGGACGCGTCCAGCTGGAACCGGTGGGGACTTAAGATGCACACACGTCCAGACCTCAGACCCAAGACAGACCCACGGCCCTCAGCCCTGTCTTCCCTCCCACCTCCTCCTCTAAGCCTTGTCCTCAAGGGACACCGGAGCCCCGCCCTCCGGGTCTCTTCCACGTGACTCGGCAACACTGAGATGGGGTGACTGGGCCGGAGAAGGGTCAGAGCTCGGGGCTGGAGGGCGCAGAACCAGGAAACTCAGGGACGGAACCAGGGCCCGTGGGAGAGAAAAGTGTGGAAGCTTGAACTCTGCGGTTCGCAGGCCCAGGATCCGGGACACGTCTCTGGCCACAGCAAAGACCAGTTACGCGTGGTTTCTCACCTGTCACGGCCTCTGAAAGGACGGGGCAGGTCTGTACCCACGGCTGCAGAAGGACCTCCTGGGTCTGTTGAGTACGAAGCCCAGAACGGCAGAAATGTGCCACAGTTTATGCCAGTGGGCGTTTGCTTCTATAAATAGGATCCCCCTGAAAGGCACGCCTGGAACAGCAGCTGCCGCCCTGGGGGGCAGGGGCTGGAGGGGGACTCGACCTTCACTGTGAGTTATGTGTGTCTCTGATTTCTGCAGTGAGTACCTAATACACACGCACACACGCTTCCTTTCTGCACACAGAAAAACTTCCTCTCCGTGGGGCAGCATTCTCCAGAATGCACAGTTCCTTTATTACCACGTCTGTTTTCTTAGAAAGAAAAATGTCTATAAAAACCTTAACCTCGGAAACCAGGGGGGCCACCCCCTCGAGCCCCTCCCCTCACCCCAGGACCTGCACGCCCTAGTGGTGCCGCTCACGCCCCGCTCTGGTGGCCTGCCCTGGACCAGTGGGTGGCCTTCGAGAAGCACGCCCCCCAGTCCGCACCCTCCCGTCCCCCAGCTCACCAAAGACCGAGGGGCGATCCCGTGGGCCCTGCTCCACGAGATGAGCCAGGAGAGGACTCCCGCAGGTCAGGAAGAATTCGACTTTACAAGAGTAGAAAGCGTCCCGGCAAAGCTGAGGTTCTTCCCAGTGCCCCCCGTCCCCCCACGTGCATGGCTCCCCCCGTCCCCACCCCCAGAGGTGCACTTGTCACCACGGGTCACCCTCGTGGACACGCCATGGCCGTCATCGTCCCCCGAGGTCCGGAGTCCCGCGAGGCGCCCCCGTGGTGCGGACGCCTGCGGCCCAGACAGAGGCTCAGCGGCGAGCGTCCGCCACCGCAGGGTCACACGGGGCAGGGTCACACGGGGCAGGGTCACATGGGGCAGGGTCACACGGGGCAGGGTCACACGGGGCCGCTGCACTGCCCTGAGCCCCCTGCGCTCCGCCCCCGCTCACCCCAACCCCCGCTCAGACAGCCCCTCTGAGGAAGCACGCCTGTTTGAAGAACTGAATCTGAAACTGCTCTAGACAGTCAACTCTGATTCCAAAGGCCTGGAAAGACTCCGTGGAAGCAGGGTCAGGGCTGGCCTCTGAGGAGGACCCGGCTGTGTGAGCCGTCCCCGGGGGAAATGAGCTCCTGGTTGGTCCTGCAGGGCCGAACCGTCCGCTTCCCCGTTTCCCCAGACTGCCCTCTGCCGCCCGCCGATCCTGCACCCGGCCCGCCCTCCTCCCCCTCCCCCTCCCTCCTCCCCCCTCCTCTTCCCCCTCCCCCTCCTCCCCCTCCTCCTGGCCACCAGGGCCCTCTGTCCTCCCCAGAAGCTGTCTAGTGTCCTGACAGGCCGCTGGCCCACTCCGCCTGTGTCCGTGCCCCCCCCGCCCCCCCCCCCGAAGGAACCAGAGCAGCTGCCCCGGAGCCCGCTGTGGACCCTACCAGCCGCACCCCCGCTCCTCCCCGCACCCCCCCACCCCCCGCTGCTGAAAAATCCCTGACCACAACTCCCTGCAACCGCACGGAACCCCAAATCCTCCCTCGGCCCTCAGGAGCCAGTCCCCAGGCCGCTCCCCTCCCCCGCCTCTCACCCTCGGCCTGCCCCCTCCCTCCGGGAATGTTCCTCGGGGCTCTCCCTCGGCTCTGGGGTCCCCTCTGAAGACCTCCCTCTCAGCACGTGTGCGGGTCGCCTCCTCCTGACCCCTCGGGCTCCGGGGCCAGCGTGGTGCCTTCGGGCAGGTCCCCACCAGCCGGCCGGTCGTCTCCCCCTGCACCCCACCTTGTCCCAGGCCGTCTCCGGCGTCACTGGGGCACCTGCATGTCTCTCAACCACGGGCTGAGTCCGGGGGGGTGGGGCAGAGGGGGGCTCTCTGAGGCCGGCAACCGGGGGTTCCCCGAGTCTCCCCGGCACCGCAGACGTGCGCTGGTGTGTGTTCAAGGGAAAGGAATCAACCCACCACGAACGGTGTGGTTTTCATCCCAGCTGGCCCTCGACGTCACTCGGCCGTCTGCCGTGGGCCGTGGGCACCCCCACCCCCAGGGCCTCGCTCCTCAGAGGCGGAGGCGGGGGCATGGCCTCCCCCACCAGCCTTCCCTCCCCACACCGGGCCTACCTCTCCCCGTGAGGCGACCCCACGGCGCCGGGCCGCGCCCTCAGCACCCCCACCTGAGCTCCGAGTCCCTCCCCCTCCCCCCTCCTGGGCCCCTGTCCACCAGCCAGCCCTTGGCTGTCCTGCAGCCCCGCACCAGCCGCACCAGCCGGGGCTCCTCCGCCTCTGCCCCGGGGGCAAGTAGAGGCGTCCCCCTCCCCGCGTGGGACTTGAGATCCTGGGGAGCAGGCGCACTGACGCCGTGGAGACCCAACCGGGGCCTGTCGGTCTCCCTGACTCACCCGCAGGGAGAAGCGCACTGACCGGCACCCCCCAGCGACCACACGGCGCCGTCCTGGGGGCCGAGCCCCTGCCTCCCCACACCGTGAGCCCCCGCCCCCGGTCTCCGACTCCGCCTGGCTCCTCGGGGCACCCCGACTCACAGAGCCGACTTCGCAGCCCCAAGACGGCCCCCGGGCCGCAGTCTGAGAGGCAGCGTGTCCTGTTTGTGGGGCGAGTCACCCCTGCCGAGAGGCTGCCCCGGTCTCACCTGGTGTTTCTCCTCCGCACTGCAGCGAGCCGCCGAGTGGGCAGGGGAGCGTGGGTCCGGCCCCCGGCAGCTTGGCCTTTGAGGGGCCCGGGGGGACGGGAGTGGACGCACAGGGGTGGCAATGAGGCGCCCTTGAGTAACCTCAGGGGCGGGGGAGGGCGAGTGAAACCGGGAGTGAACACACACACAGACCCCAAGCTCAGGGAGCTGGGGGCGGGGAGGAAAGGAGTCGCTAGGGGTTGGCAGGTTTTGTTTTCATGGGAAAACTGGTTGGGTTAGGGACTGGCCACCAGTCTGGCGGGGGGAGAGAGTGGTCAGCAGGGCCAGGGGCCATGGCCAATGGAGTCTGGGGACTGGGTGGCCAATGTCATTTTCAGTATTTCCTTTAAACGGAGTGGTTTCCTCCCACCGTCCTGCAACCCCGAACGGTTCTGTCCAACACGACAGCGCGTGGCCACCCGGGCTTTGGGGGAAGGAGGGAGGGGGCTGCACCTGCTGTGCTGTGGGTAAACCGAGGAAGGGCACCCCCGGCCGGGGACAGCGGCAGGCAGGCTGGGGCGGGGTGGCGGCCGAGCTAGAACACACGTGGTGTCCGAGGGACCCCAGTCCCTGACGGCAGGCCGGCCCGGCCCCCGGGTCGCCCTGTGGCCTGGCCTCAGCTCAGTGTCCCGGGGACCTGCCGCGAACCAGCCCCCCAGACCAGAAGCAGCCGTGCAGAGGGGCACCCGCCTGCCCCACCCCCCAGACTCCCGGTCCAGGCCCTTCCTACTCGGGGGGCCCGCCCATCTGTAACGCCGACCTTGGCCCAGGTTGCCTCCTCTCTCTGCTTCCTGCCCTGCCAAGCCCCGAGGTCCCTCTCGGAGCCTGGATTTGGTGCTGAGCCCTGGGGGACAGCTGCACCCAGGCACCCCGGTGGGGGCACCTGTTGCCTTTGCCTTCTGAGACACAGAGCCCGTCTCCATGCCCCCACCTTACGAGCCACACTCCCGCCAGACCGTGTGACTTCTGGATGCAGAGAGCCCCGGGGTCCCGGCCTGCCCTGGGTTAACAGCCCGCAGCCCTGGCCCAGCTTACAGAGACTGCCGTGCAGGCGGTGAGGGCGGCCAGGTGGCATCTTACCTGCACACCTCCTAATCCTGGCGCTGACACCGACTTTCTGAGCCCCACGCCACCGGGCCCCTGCCCGAAGCTGCCAAGCCTGTCCCCGGGGCCCCTCCCACCCCCTCCAGACCCTCCCTTCACCCTCCACAAGAGGCGCAGCTGCACGACCACCTCCCGGGGGTGCTGGGAAGGCAGGACTTGACTCTGGCCACCAGACATGTTCTCCACGAGGCATCGTGTCAAGACACCGAGAGGTGGCAGTGTTTCTGGTGGTCTCTGCGAGTCACCAGCAGGTGGGACACCCCGGGCGGTTATTCACCATCCGGCAGTCTCTCCAGCCCCTGTTCTCAGCTGCTCTCTGGAACCCTCATGGCGAAGCAAATGAGGCAAATTTTCCGGACTGTGGGTACCGAGACTCGTTCTCGTGAAAGAAGTGTAGAATCCAGGACCTGGGAGGACGCTTCTGCCCGCCACGGAGGGTCTGCACGGGGTCCCAGCCTCTGAAACAGCGCCAGTACAGACCCCCGCCTTTGGGCCAGGCTGACGCTCCCATTCGGAGACGGTTTCTCAGATGTCACCGCGCCCCGCAGTTGCTAGGCAACCAAGCACGGCAGAAGCGGTCGGCTGGGGACTTAGAAGAAGCTTAGAAGAAGCGGAGACCTTCCCCGGGTCCGCGCTGAGCTGGGAAACTGATTCCAGGTGGGACGGGGTGTGTGGGTCGGAGGGCAGAGCCTGGAAGGGGTCCTATTTTTGAGGCATGGGCGCCCTCTGGTGGGAGAGACTGGAATCACACCAACAACGGACTAGAGTCAATTCTTTTTTTTAAATACATTTTATTGATTATGCTATTACAGTTGTCCCATTTCCCCCTTCACTCCCCTCCACCGTGCGCACCCTCTCCCACCCACATTCCCCCCCTTTAGTTCATGACCATGGGTCGTACATGTAAGTTCTTCGGCTTCTACATTTCCCATACTATTCTTGCCCTCCCCCTGTCTATTTCCTACCTACCATCTATGCTACTTAGTCTCTGCACCTTTTCCCCCTCTCTCCTCCTCCCACTCCCCTGCTGCTAACCCTCCATGTGGTCGAGTCAATTCTAAGCGAGCAACTGGCACTCCTCTTGCCTGTGGACTCCCTGTTCCAAGTGAAGGCCCTCGCACCCTGACCCGGGTTTACCATTCGGCCCAGAGGTTGCAGCTCTGACACCACGTGTGTGGGACCGGGGTAGCAGGGTGGGGCTGGGGGCTTTTCAAAGAATAACTTGCGAGCCCCTGCTTCCGAGCGAAAACCGTGAAGAAGGAACCGTGCCGGTGCTGCGAGTCCTCAGTCTGCTCACTGCTCTCCGCCTGGCCCCGGGCAGAGCCCCGTCTCTCCGATGGTGCTGCGTTTCTCCCGCCGGGAAGCTGGGAAAGACACAGACGCCTCCCAGGGCGGCCGTGCGTGGGGCCTTGGAAAGAGGTGTGAAATGCCTAGCACGAAGCCGCGCCCACAGGGCGTGTTTGGCCAACGTGAGGTGGTGTTACTTGGGTCTCCAAGAACATCATTGCTCCTTGGAGAAAGCGCTGGCCCCTGTCCGCCCAGCAGCCGCGGCGGTTTTAAACGGAACAGCAGGGAGCATGGCCCACGTTTCCGGGCGCACCAGCCACGGCCTCGGTGAGCCGGGGCGTCACGGGGCAGCTCCGCCAGCCGCCGGGTGGCCTGTGCAGGTGCGGCTCGGACCGCGCCGGGCCCTGGGAAGAACTGTGTGCACCTCCCCTGGCGGACCAGGGGGGTCTTTATCAGCTACAATCAAACGATGTTTTTTTATTTTTCCACAATTTGCTTTTAAGCCCTTTGGTGGCATTCACATTACTTTTTAGTTGCTGAACTACTAAGCTTGAGAAACTCCCAATTGCTTTTTTACCC